TGTTAAATGGTCTCTAATGTGCTGGTTTTGTGGCGTTTAACAGTAATTTTGTTACGTCATTGCGCTAAATAACTTTCGTTGTGTTAGTCGATATACTTGGAGTAGTGTTGGATATTTGTCGATGAAAATGGTGAGATTTCTRCCTTGCTAAACKGTTGAGCATTGCTGTGGTAATGTTGGTTGCCTGGATATGCATGAATTGTTCGGCGTGTTTTGTGAGTTATTATATTTAGTAATGCTTGTTAAATATTGATGTTGGATATTAAGCATGACTGSGTTATTATCTCATTACTAGAAAGTTGTTTATGTTGTAGAAGCATGCTGAATTGTATTTGTGAGTTGAAAGATGCAGGGGTAGTGGCTTAAGAAAGTATATAGTAAGACTCTGGTGAGAGTTGGATTCTTAGAGGGAATGAATAAGTGAGTGTCAGGGCCTCGGGTATAAATGGCTGGGGCTGATACGTCACTAATTGAGTATCGAGGCCTCGGGTAAAACGGTCGAGGGTCGATACGAGGAGTCCTTTGGAAGGAAGGCTATTGGGGCCTTGGGTATAAATGGTCAAGGGTCAATAGATGGTGAAGTCATCGGGGCCTCGGGTAAAAATGGTCGAGGGCCGATGCAGCAGTGTCGGGGCTCTGGGTAAAAATGGTCAGGGGCCGACTCTACTCGAAGGAGTTAACTGTGGAAGGCTAGGATAGCCGTGATAAGCGTATAGGTACTTGATATGTTAGGGAGACTAGAGGTTGGTAGTTAATGTGTTCCTGGTTGTGGTTGTCACCGGATTTTATAGAATGTGCCTATGTTTGAATGCTTAATGTGTTGAACAGCATGACTATGAATGTTCCATGATTTTTGTTGAGCATGATGTGTATGTGTTGTTGGTGAGGGCTACTTACGGAGTATATTTTATATACTCACCCTCCATCTACAATTATTGTTTCAGGTGAAGGACTCGTTGGCGACCATGGTGATGAATGGAGAAGACATGACGAGCGAGGACCATAGACTG